AAAAAAAATTGGGAACGGAGGAGTGGCATGTGAAATGAACAGCTGCAAAACTAAGCTCTGGCTCTGGAGGATGAGAGGAAACCCAGCCAATTAAAATAGAAAACTAGTTTTGCTGAAAGAGCTGAGAGGGTCTGTAAACTACAGAAATAAAGTGGGAATAACAGGGGCAGGCCCAGAAATGCCCAAAGGCAGAGAATTGACACAGGCCACAGGGCCCTGAGTTCTGAGGCATTCTGAGGAGCCTGAGGAAAAGGAGCCTTTACAATGAACAGTAGATAAAAGAGCCTGGAAGGTGAACCTACAGGACGAAGAAGTAAAAAGGACCACAGGAAAAGGTGGTACTAGGTAATTACTGGGGTTTCAGTGGTATGCTTTAATAATTGCCAGATGGACTTGAGCAGGAAAAAATTCTCAAGTCTACAAAATGCATTCCCCACGAAGAACAGATATTTGATGAAGGGCATGTGAACACAATGCACATAAGACAACTTCACAAATGACATTCAAGACATGAGAGCATAATTCTTTCCTTCCCTCCCCTTCACAGTCTAAGACTTTGGCCTGGCAACCCTTTTCCCCAAGGATACAGCACCATTTGGTGGGGAGGAGTAAAGACATGCTTGCCTAAAAAGTATAAAGTAAACCAAATGTATTATTATTATTTTAATTCCATTTCTGATGATTAAAAGTTACAAATGATCAGTTCCTAAACTACAACATGTCAGTTATCCTGTTTTGTTAACACCTAAAAATATCACAAAATTCAAACTATAGGTTAACATGTGAGGCATAACACATCCCTGATGCCTGTGAAAAGAATCAAGTATTTGCACAAATAAGGGTTGATTTATAAAGAAAACCCCAAACCACAACATTGTACTTGAAAATAAGAATCAGCTTATCTTTGGAATTGAATTCAAATGTCTATATGACTGTGAACAAGTTTAATAAAATGTTTTGCATGTTTCCACTACATATAAAATCTATGTAATACATGTCAATATATCAATTTGGCATCTATAAAAACTCTGAAAATGATTCAAAAGTTTCATTCTTTTTGAGAAAGCCATCGACAAAAAAATAATATTCACACTCAGACTACATTTTAAAAAAATGTTTCTTCTTTCAAAGCTTCTTTATTAATCTGAAATCTTCTTGATTATCAAAACCTAAGTCTGATTTTTCTTTTAAAAAACACTAAAGGTCTTTTAATCATATGAATAAAAAAGCAATGGGAAGATGGAGAACTCAGTAGTGCTTTTCTGAAAATCACAAAAACTAATTACAGAAGCATTCTCAAAAGAACACAATGGGATTCATTTTCTTTTAGACTTTTGGACAGCAATGTCATACTTTATTGAAAACAAACCCATGTAAAAACAAAGTTAAAATGAAAAAAAATGGTACCTGAAAAATAAATTATTTTATATAAAACAAATCAATAACTTAAAACACACTAAATATACAAAATGTTTAACCATCTACTGTACAATATGGGAAACAATTGATAAAGCCTCCTGTCCCACAACAGATTACTTTGTAAGCGAAATGTTACATGTTAAAAGAGATGGAACCAATTTTTAAAAAAGACTTCAGGTCAAGATTTAAAGTACAGTACTATTCAAAGTTACTGGTCAAATCACGAATTATCCCAACTTATGTGCTCAAAATGTCAAAAGTTATTTGCTTTTCAATGACCAAGCAAAATATTTAACCATGTCACTGAAGGGTGGCTTGGAAATAAGAAACAATCATTACAAGTCAAAGGAAAATCAAAGTTTTGAGATGGAAACCCCATAGGATTTCGAAGATTCTGGTGGTAGCTCATCTACTCTATCATTATTAAATGGCTCATGAATTACAAACTCCACTCAACAGAAACAAAAAACAAAAAACAAAAAAACAAAAAAACAAACCAAAAAGTTTCCTTCTGTGCTGCCTGTCAATCTTTAGGAAGTATGGTGGCTTGTAGCCTGGAGTTGCCAACAGCAGGGCCACAGGGAACACAGACGCCATATCCTACAAACCACACTGTGCTGGGGAGGTGGGAGTGTGGGGGTGCATGGGTGGTGTATTTCAAAGACCAGAAGAGTTTTATCCAGTACACTGACATTTGGTTTATGGAAAGGGTATTGGAGGAGAAGGGGAAGATGTCATTACCATCTTACTCTCACATGAATGCTACAAAAGCATACAGAAACAAAATGATGCTGCATCTGATATGAAACCAAACAACTTGAGTGATGTTCATTTCAATGTCCAAATCTGATAACTGTGCTGAGTCTAAACCAAGCAATTTCAACACAGAATATGCAAATAACCACATCTGCTTAGCTATAAGCCAACTATACTCGTCTTTGGGTCCTAGGCTTTCCCAGCATTGAGAGCAAGTGCAGATCTACAAACATTAAGTAAGGCACCTGCCTTCAGAATAGGAAAAATCTCATTTTCTGGAAGCAGAGAAGGCTCAACCAGACCCAGTACCAACTTCATAAAAACAATCTAGCTCTACTTTAATAGTGTACTTGTTAGAGATGATGGAAAGAAAGGACAGATACCCTTGAGTGGGAAGTCAGAATGAAAGAACTTCCTATTAGAGGTAGAATTAGCACACAGAAAACCCTCTCTGGAGGGGACATGGTATTTTACAATGAGGAATCAATTTAAGGCAAAGCTGCAGGGGTAGAATCAGCAATGTTAACTTAATCTTTTAAAAAAATTACCACAACCTAAGTATTGTTTAGCAGGTAATTATCAGGAGTTCTAATTGATAAGCAATGGGGAAATCGGAAGCTAAAAGATAACTGAATCAAATCAAAGTATCTCAAATATCTGCAAAATTATGCTTTCTAAATTAATACTGTCTACTCAATTCTTTTCATCAAGTTATTTTAAATAAGGAAGCTTTGGGAAAACAGGAACTTCCAAACATAAGTAGAGTCTTCATCTTTTTCAACAGGAGTGGGATTAAACTTTTTAAGCAAAGTTTGGGAAAAGGATTCCTTTAGCAATATGACATTTTAAAAATGAGCTCTCTCTTTTAGGAACAAACCTGACAGTCTGGTTCGGGCTGAGCTAACCTACTAAATGTTCCTAGCAAAGCAGAGTGGCTGGAGCAACTATTAGGTTGGTGGATTGCTTTCCAGAAGTAATATATCAATGGTTAAACTTTCCACACTCCTGCAAATGTTCCTGAAGAAGCATCTGGGACCTGTGGTGACAAGTGTGTTCAAACCCATGGGGACCCCAAGTACCAGAAAAATGTCAGGTGACAGACACATCAAAAGCCCAAATACCTCCATATTTTTCCATTAGTTCCAGGGTCTGAAGAATCAGGCTGAATCAAAAGAAAAGAGAATACAGATGTGGCAAAGATGCCATCATCATTTGCAAAGTATACGATTTAAGGTAGAATTCTCTTAAGAAGTCAAGCACTAGCCAAAGCTGGCAGCAAACTGTAAATGCAGTAGCTTCAAAGAAAGATTCAGAACCACAAATCATGCCTTCATCCAGAAGACTTAAGAGAAAGGCTTTGAATGCTGCCATGACAAAAAAAGTGTTATTTTCTCATACAACACACTGACTCAAAATATAAAAATTCTCCACAGCAAGACCACAGTGACTACCTTTCCATTTACTCCAGTAAATAGGCACTGTTTCTAGATCAGAACAGAAACTACACTTTTCCCGCCCTCCCCCCATCCCCCCCCCATTTAAAACAAAGCAAATGGAGCAGAGACCACAAATCCTTGTCATAAAAAGCGGCTACAATCCTTTGGATTTTGTTACTTCTGAGGGTAAGGTGGATCCTGGGCAGTGTCCAGCTAGCTCTCAAGGCCAAGCCTTGGTACCAATCTTTCATCATGTGTAAAAAGTGAAAAAAGAAACCTTCTAAAAAGTCGTGAAGCAAATACAAACACGTGATAGGGACTCAATATTTTGGAAGCACTAGGTGAATGGAAAGCAGTTATGAGGCCAACTATCCAGATGCTTCCGAAAATAATGAACTGCGTCAGGAGAGGGTGATACCTATTGCCTAATTTGTCCTTTTAAAAAAATAAATCAGTAATTCCATTATACCAATAACTAAAAAACATCATCTTTAAATAGTTCCATCTCATGTCATAGTTATAAATTGCTGGTCCTAAACCATCCCATTTTTTTTTCTCTCTCTGTACATTAGTTATATAACAATCAGATCAGGTTCTTGAAACAGCTTCCCGGGGTTCTCTCTTGCTGCATGCTACCAGCCTACCTGCCTATTGTGGCTTCTTTCCCACTGCCTATCAACATTGGCAGGTTTAGAAAAGAATCATTCTGGGATGATACAGTTTATACTGCCACCACAGACATGTCAAGGCTTTTTTCCTGAGGCCGGTAAACTCTCCTTAAGACCTGACAATTCTCCCTGAATGTTGGACCTTCTGTACAATACCTATCCAAAACAAAAGAAAATTGAAAATAAAAAACAAAACAAAATTTGAGCAAAACAAAATCAAATTTAATGGTCTTAAATGCAAAAGTAAAAACAAACAAAAAACACAAAAAAGCAAAAGAAAATTTAACAGAAACAGAACAACCCAAAATAGTCAAGGCAGCATGAAGAAAACTTTGGGGGTTAATCTTTAAAACTACAAATTAAAGTCTTCTTGTTAATAGATAACTGGCAAGAAATAAGTACTTTTCTGCTGAGTGTTCACATGAAAGCAAATTTTCAAAACAAAACCCTACTAAGATAGAAAAAAAGAATCTAATGCTCACAAGAAGGGATGCGAGAAATACAATGCTCAAATGTTTATGTGTTATTACAAAATAGAGCTATCCTTGTGAATTTAAACTATGTTGAATGAAACTGCAAAGTTCTCTCAAAAGATAATGTACCAGGATGTAGTGCACCAGGCATACGCTATTTGGACAAAAGATTCAGGATGTCAAAGGAGCAACATATGTTCACACTGTTTTGGAGATTAAATTTGACTCTGGAATCTTCTTGGAGTTTCTTTGAAACTCTTTGGTCCATTCCTACTCAAACTCGGGCTTCTGAAAAATCTTTGTACTTTAATTTCGACAGCTTGGCCACAGCTCAGCGTGCAACTTACCTCCCCAATGGTGTTAAAAGTCAGGCAGGCATGCTACTACTTACAAGACCACTTTAAAAAAAAAAAACCAACTGAAGATTAGGTCAACAGAAAAGTGGCAATGAAAACTGCTTCAGAAAGCAATTTACTGTCAACTAAGGCGTCAATCATTTTAAATGCTTAAGCTATCGAGAAAAAGCACACTCAGCGTCAGTCTAACATCTTTAGTTTAACAACTAAGAAGAAAAAGAATTTGTTTTTCCAGTTTGTGGAAACACTAAATGAAACAAATGTTAGACAGTCTTATAAGTTAAAGCATGCTTCAATTTTACCACCATCCAGAGGGGCTGGTTAGTTAATGCAGTCTACTAAGATTTCTGTTTCATATATATTTTAAAGGAAATAACTTAAGAAACTTAAAATTGGTCTAACATTGTGGGATCTCAAACATTTGAACATGTCAGTTGCATCCCAGAGTATAAAAAACCTTTTCATTTCTCATTTAGACTAAGACAAACACGTGAAAATTGGCGCAAAATGAGTTTTACACTAACAAAAAAATGCTTCAACTGGTGTCACTCTGAGTGAGCTATTCCGTACCAAACAGCGGGAGCGAGTTATTTGTGGGCCTTGTTGGTTTTGAAGGAAACCTGCAAGATTTTGTCCCCCAGGCGGTAGCCATTGAGACTTGCTATGGCCATGGCGGCTTCTTCATAGTTTGTCATGGTCACAAAACCAAAACCTTTGCACTTGTTGGTGTTGAAATCGCGAATAACTTTCACATTGGTAACCGCACCAAAGGGGCCAAACATCTGCCAGAGGATTCCCTCATCAGCATCTTGACCAAGGTTGTAGATGAAGATGCACCAGCCAGAAGATGCGTTTCCTGGGACATTTACACCAGAAAGCCCAGTCATGTGATCTACACCCATAGGGGAGAACCTAGCAAATAAAAAGCACAATATTCATGTAAAATTTCAATTCAATCAAATGAATCAACATGGAAGAAAAACAACTGAAGATAGATAACAAAAACTCTCAAACAAACCACCAATGGAGGCAGTTTGTGGGCCCCTTTCCTCACATTCCCTCTTCCCCCAAACAAAAATAAAAGTAACAGTGGTATGACTGCTCAATACTACTGGTGGTGGAGAAGATGGAAACTTAAGTATCATCAGGGCACGACAGCAACTCAAATATTTAAACTAAGAAGTGTCAGGCAATGAGGAGCCATAAGAGATGGTGGAATTGCTGACCCCAGTTATCTAAGGCTAAGATGGAGACACACTGATCACTCTGAAAAGCTAAGTCTGGGGCCATAAAATGATTTCTCTTCCCAAAGCAAGCCTTTTTTTGCTCTCTCTAGTACTATGCTTCACCCTAGATTTCTGCACCTTCACTGTTGGAGCTTCTATAATGTCCCTTGTGGGTTCCTTGAATCTATCAGATCCCACTATTCTCTAGAAACCCTTTTCTGATACTTAAGGAACTCTCTTAATGGGAAGAAAGAATGCAGAGATTGGTTTACTTTTGCCCCTTTCTCTCTATCATAACTGTTCTTTCCTTTAGATTCTCTAGAAGATCAATGGAAAAAGAGCTCTGGGGCATCTCTGCTGAAAGCACCCCTTCTCCTGAAGGATCTATGGCACCAGCCAGGATAACTGGATAACATAGCACAGGGCAATCTTCCATAAGCAGAAGTGAGCAAGATGTACCTGCCTGTAACATAGAACAACAGACCAGGTAATTCAACTGAGGTCTTCATAACTCAAATGACTTATCCCACTGGGACCTGAGAACTAGCAGAACAGCAACATCACTGGTTGAGATCCCACACCACCTGTAAATCACCTTTTCCAAAATGACACTTCTACAGATAATTACTTGTAGAAGTATAGATCATAGGATTCATTCTACCCAAGGGATGTCTTACAATTTTAAAAGGTTCAGTCTTCGAAAAAGCTAAAGACTGCCAAAACATGAAATAGAATTGGTGGAAAACCTGAAATATACTTTGAAGATGGCCATCAATTCTACTCCTCTAAATGACGTATAATAAATAAGTGCAAAGACTGGAGTCAGATTATAATGGGAAATAATCCAACATTTATGCTTGTCCAAACACGGAGCATGCTATACCTTGAAAGGCCATTAAAATATTATTGGGTAATATGAGTGGATAAGACATAGAGCAATGAAATAAATGTCTTTTAATGATCCAAGGGCCATTATTATCTTTGTGCTATGGATCCCATGCAGTATATTTTTCAAAGAGGTCTATTTCTTAATAGATGGAGAAGATGGCCACAGTTTTAAACTTTGAGACCATTGTTTAGCCCTGAACACTTTGAGCTGGTATGATAACCTAGTAGGACTCTCTTTTAAAGAATTCCAAGGCTATCTGGGACAACAATTAGCTAATACCCGTAATTATTGGAAAAAGGTGTTCTGAGTACCAGATCTACAAACTTTTGCTAAGCTACTTTTTTTAAACTAAAAACACGATCCCACATTTTAGAAAAACCTCTGCTTTGCAGAATATTCCCACAAGCCCCTGCTTCTCCACTCAATAGGGGGATAACTCCTAATACAAATAAAATAAAATGGATCCAAAATGGTATGATTTTTGCTACACTGAAAAAATACCTCTGAGCTGCTATTTCAGTTGTATTTTATTTACATTTTTGTGATTTGAAATTCTGGTCAGTGGATTTCCATTTTACCAATCACAGCTGATCTATTTTACCTCAACAGTCATAAAGAAATGACCTATTTCCTATTTTTTCTTATGTTTAATATGAAGATTCAGATACATTTCTTACTCACGAAGGCTTTTTCCTGAAGCAATCACCACATTCAATACTGAACTCTTTTGTGGGCCTTCTTCCTTTTGTTTTCAAATGTCCTTTAGTAACTAACCCTTTCCTCTTTTATCTCTACTTATTCTTCCCTTTCTCCTTTCCATTCTCACATTTTAGGCTTTTTTGTGATTCTCTCTTTATTAGATACTCTTAGCTTTTCGCCTCTCTCTGAAATTTTAGTTCTTCTCTGTTTTCCTTCTTTTCTTTCTGTCTCCTTGGATAAAAGTCCCCATTATTCTCATCCCTTCTTTACCTTGTTCTCTAGCTCCATTACCTGACTGTTTATCAGAATTAGCAGTTACTCTATACTCACCACCAATCAAGAGAGGTAACATGACTTAGTGAAAAGAGTACTGCTGCCCTTGAAGCCAAAAGTCCTGGGCTTAAATTCTACTTCTGACATTGCTTTGCTATGAGACCATGGACAATACCTACTCATCTATAAAATGGGGATAATAATACATCTAACTCTACGCTTCCTACTTAAGGTGGATGTGAGGAAAGCACTTTGCAAATCTGAAAAGTGCCAGAGAGTAGGAGCTGCATTATGATTTTCAGAGTATCCAGTTTACTTCTCAATAAAGAAAAAAAAAAGACCCTTCAATGATTTGCCTTCAAATTAGCAAAGCCATGTAAAAGAGGCCAGATAACTTATTTGTAGCACAGGGTATTAGGAGGTATGGAGTACTAAACTTTCATCAGGCCTTGGAAAACAAATTTCACCTGTGGGATTGAACAAGTCCTTCTGACCTGATTTCTCAAACACAAAGATGAGGATATCTGATGAGAAACGTACTTCTGGTATTTACAGTCATGAAGAAAAATCCTCAGCCCGCTAGGGAGATCAGTCAACATGCCATTTCTGTTTAACAGAAAAAGAGGCTCAGAAAGTTGTGACCCGCCTCAGGGTGGGCAGCAAGGCAGCAGCAGCAAAGCCAACTTTGAAATTCCAGTTCTGCATCTATTCTGTTGTAGTCTAGCAGACAGGGACAGCCTCCTGACATGGGGGACCACTATAACTGGGGCATTTTCAAGCTGGAAAAAACCAAGGTCCCTGCATCTATTATCACTTACATTTGGAAAAAGGGCTTTAGAATAAAGCATATAAAAAAAGACAGGCTTGCCCTAGAGCTGTTGGTCAAATATCCAGACGTTTGTAAAATATAAGCCCACCCAACAGAGCCTACTGATTTCCCTATGGGTGGGCTACTCCAGCTCATTTTTCAAGTCTTATCTAACTGGAGACTCCGAGTTCAAGCACTTTACAGTTCACTCCACGGAGCAGGAACAGTGTCCATTTTCTACCCCCTCCCCCTCAATTCCAGCTTAAGAAGACACTGCTATGGAAATCAGCGTTTTCATAAAGATACATTTCTGATTTGGGGAGAGGGAAGGATTCCAATACACATATTAGTTTTGAACAATTTCATTTTAGCAATAGTTCTTTTATAACTGATGCACACACCAGGACAAAGCTATTTACAGCTTTAAAGATGCAGCTCTGGTCCTAAATGGAAATGGATTGGGGTAAGATTGACAGCAGAGACCTGAAGGGAATTAGTCTTCCTGACCCACCTGAATCTTTGTGCCTGATGATGAACTGGCCCTCCAAATCGTCTAGCTGGTGAGTGATACAGCTGAGAGAGCAGCGCCACATTTTTATTCTGGTTAGGGTTGGCTGCAAACTTCACTGTTATGGGTTCGGAAGAACCTGGGGGTTTATGGCCATTGAAACTGGTAATTGCCTCTTCTGCTTCTGATCTTTTGTCAAACCGGATAAATGCAACCCCTCTGGACAAACCTTTTTAACAAATCAATAAAAATGCAGTTAGGGAAAAATGCATGCACTTTTGAAATTGAAAAACAAAAGTCAAATTCTTCCACAGCCTAACTCAGTTTATATTGATAATTTGGTAGATGGGATAAATTAACAATAGACCTAAATATAAAAACAAATTAACTCATTTTTCTCAAATCGCCTTAATAACAGAAAACGGAATGCCGTCATTCAGCCTAAATGATTATACTAAAGTCTAGGAAGTACTGTGCCAAATCACATTTTTCAGGAAAAATAAATATTCCAAAAATACATGACAAAATGTCTTGTTCAATTTAAAAGCAATTTGAAAAAGGATAATATACTAAGATAGACTTTCTGGTTGCTGCCAAGACAAAGCCCACAAGCTGCTTTTATGCCTAGAGACTATCTTATAGCAATTTTAAGTTAAAATGTTTAACACATATTGGTGCATACTCATAACAATGAACACATGCTCAATCAATACCCAAGTGACAGTAGCTGGGAATTAAAACAAATGTGTTTATACCCATAGGTATGATTTGTAGATTGTGTAAGTGAAGTCAACAAGGTGTCTCCCACCCACTCTCCCCACCCAAAACAAAAAACAAATTACACAAGCAAGGATAATACAGTATTCTGGACAGAAACTCCTTGCTTCTTGTTACCTGAAAAGGTAGAGAGAAGAAGTTTGAAGTACACTACCCTGACCTCAAAGGCCATTTTTTTTTTCTCCCCAGTTTAGGGACCCCAGCAACTAAAATAGATTACTACTACCTTTAGTTAAGCTTTAATTTGGAGCCACTTCCAAATAACAACTTTTTTCTCTACTTTTGAATACAGACTTCCACTAGCCATCACTCTAATACTTCCTGTTCACTGTGAGAAACAGAGACTATTGTCCCTTAAGAACTAAACATGGAATTTGTTTTCCCTTTGGCTTTTCCTCCTATGTCATCTCCACTAAGATCAAGTCCTGGTGACTTCTGCACCGAAGCTCCCTCCCTCTCCATGAAGAACAGCAGTGCTGGAGAAAACGGACACAAGGCCCACTCGGCTCAGCAGAAGTGCCAAGTACACCCCTGCTACGGCAAGGCCAGAGAAAGGTTCCTGCTAATACAGATAGCTGAGATATTTCAAAGCTACAGTTATTGAACCATGTCCATGCTATTCTGGAAGCCAAAATCTATCACTCCTAGTAAGGAATATTAGCAGAAGTGAAATTGATAGTCTTCACTGACATCATTCAATACAAAGTTGCACCTTATTTATCAGAGCATCACTGGGAAACAAGAAATTCTACATTTATGAATTTTCCAGACAACTAAACCTCAATCACTTCAGTTCAAAACTTTTTTCTTATTAATCACCATTGATGTAAGTCTTGAATCTATCACATAGTTCTGTCTCTTTCTAACAACAAATAACCATTACTTTAAAGATCGGGACAGGAGGTGTGCGCCTCTATTCTCTGTGGCTGTTGTTTTAGGCTGCTGAGATGGAACCACAGTTGTTGCCACGTGTCTGTAGAGCTACAAGGAGATGGGCTACAAGAGAAATGCCCTCAAGGCCTACTGAGGACTACTCCCTTTCATGCTGCTTTCACTGTGTGCTTCTGGCATTCTCTATTCCCCTGCCCCCCCTTACACTCACACACACACACACACACACACACACACACACACACACACACACACACACACACACACACACCCATCTCTCACCTGCCATGGCCCAGGAAATTAGATCACCAGTCTCATTAGAATTGCCATTGTTGGGGTAACCACAAAAATCAATGCCCCATCTTTCCTGTGCCTTACTTTATGCAAATCCATGTGAACATATTAAAGGATGCTACTTTGCCTTAGATTTCTCCAGACTGGTGGTATTCCCAGACCACAACTCCTTGTCTCTATTCTGTCCCTAAAACTAGCCCAATCCACCCTACGCTCAAGAATCATCAGATTTATACTTCTCCAAAGACCACCCACCAGCCCTGTTCCTACTATCAAACAGTTTCTGAAACCTGGCCCTCCCTACAGTCTTCCAAGATTAAACAGAAAAGAGTTTTTAGCTTCCCCTTGCCTCACCCAGTCAGGACATGGAATTCAAGGAATCAGTGTCCCTGATTTCTACTCTCATTATGAGTTTACCTTTGACTCCTAAATGACCTTTAAATCACGTAAATGCCTTATATCCATTCACAGTTTAAGATTTCTACTCAGCCATCCACGTGTCCTGTATTTGGGTGTCAATGACTATACGTTCTTAAAGAATAGGAACTAGATCTAGTAATCCTTGATAGCACAATCCCAAGCTTAGCACTATGAAAACAGGTACTTAGGGCTGTCATGATGATGATGATGATGATGATGATGATGATGATGATGAAAGAACAGAGAAGAGTATTTTAAGTGAGGAAAATAGCAAATGTAAAGACAGTAAGTTGGGTGTGAAAGAGAGCAAACAGACAAAACTGAGTGAAGAATTCAGGTAAAGGAATAATGTATTTACTGAGAACCGGAGGCAAGGTAAAAGTAAGTGAACAGGATTGTTAAAACCTAAGACTAGAAAGAGGAGTTTGAATTTGATAGGGAAGACCTACTGGGAATTCTGATGATTCTTCAGTGTAGGGTGGATTGGGGCAGCCTGAGGGACAAATTACAGACAAGAGGTTGTGTTCTGTAGTCTAGCATCACCCTAGAGAGACCTGGAGGTGGGGGTAGAATCCTTTGATAAGAAGTCAAGGGTATCTTTCCTTCTAAAGTATGGCGGATATGGTGGATAGCCTTAAATATAAATAAGCTGAAGACCAAATGGAGCAACCTAAGCAATTAACTGTGAGCAAAGTAGCTCATAATTCTTGACTGTGCTCCTCCTAGGTGGCTGCCTTCTACTCCAGTAAGTTTTCCCATCCCTTTGAAACTGAAAAGGCAGCAAAGAATAGTAAGTCTTTTCCAGGGAATAAGTTTGGGTCCAATTTGCTTGACACTAAATAGTGCTTAATTGGACACTATTTAATTATAACAATCATATCTGCCAAAGAAGAAATAGCTTTCTTAGTATTAGGGAATGGATAGGAATGAAAGACTCAGTTTTACCACTCGCACACTACCCTAGTTATTAAGTGCATACATGAAAAGAGTCTACAAACTGTGGGGTAATATTTAATGACTTCATCCTAATTCCTACTGCTGCCATCCCCTAAAAAGGATTCTAAAAGAGGAACACAAGTTAAGCAAAACAAATTCCTTCACTAGCCGCATACCAAAATACCCGTCTCACACTGCACCTTAGATCTACTGTGTCTCTGTCAGAAGGGTAGAGTATATTTTATCACTGGTTCTTTGGAATCATGGATAGATAGTCACTTTGTTGATCACAGTCCTTACAGCTTTCAGAGCTGTCTTTACAGTACTGTTGCTACTACATCACTTGTTCTCCTAATTTTGCTCATTTCATTCTTCATCAGTTTATAAAGACTTCAAAACTGTTGGTTTTTATAGATGGTAGAGTAAAAATTGTCCTTCTGGTTCTTACTTCACTCTGTATCAGTTCATGCAAGTGTATAATTTGAAATATTTGAATTTGAAATAATTTGAAATTTTCTCATTTTTTATAATATTAATAGTATTCCATCATATTGATACACCACCATGCTGCTTTAAAAATTTTTATACCTATAGGCCCTTTTCTTTTGATTTTGTTGATCTCTATTGAGTATAGTTCTATCAGTGGTATAGCTGGGTCAAAAAGCATATACTGTTTAACAGCTTTTTGTATACAATTCCAAACAGTTTTCCAGAATGCCACCAGAGGTACACTAATGGAAGATCAAGGGACCTGTTTTCCCACAGCAACCCTTTTCCCCCAATATACATCATTCTCCTTTTTTGTCACCTTTGCCAATCTGACAGGTATAAGGTGGAATCTCAAAGTGCTTTAATTCGCATTTCTCTAATTGCTAGTGATTTGGGCATTTTTTCATATGGCTATTGATAGCCAGGGTTTCTTCCCAGAAGAACTGCCTGTTCATATCCTTAGAGTAGACCAATTATCAATTGGGGAATGGCTCTTATTCTTACAAATTTGAATCAGTTCCATATATATTTATCTTGGAAATAAGACCTTTGGCAGAGAAACTTGCTGCATATTTGTAAGGTTTTTTTTTTCTTTCCTCTTTTTTTCAATGGGATTGGGATAAGGGAGAGGTTTCTTTGTTGTTTTTTTTTTTTAAACACAGATGTGTGTTGGGGGATGCTACAGATGTGGTACGTTCTACAAATGTGGAATGTTAACATGCACTTTCAGATGAGGTCAGTGCATTATCAGTATTACTTAGTAACAACAGATCTTTTTCACAGAGTAGAAATAATCTGAAAATGTTCATAATATAAAAACAAAATATGCCAATAAAAATTTATTAAAAAAGGAACATGAGACCAAATTTTAAGCGATCCCATGGAAGATTTTTTCACATAGCTACTCAAAGAGAACACTCACTCACCCAGGTACAAATTAGACTTCTTTTGAAACCACGTCTCAGTACATGAAATGGTTACTTTCTCCAGAAAATATTTCCAAACTTCCCTAGCCAGGAGATTAATCTCTCCATAGGATACCAAAAGCACAAAAGAGGGCAGCCATGGTATACTCACCTTTGCTGGAAATTTTTCTCATTAGATTTCTGACTAAGCAGAAGAAAAACTATTTAAATATTCAAAATCATTCATCTCACAAACCAACACCAACTGCATGAAAACTCTTCTAACTTAGAAAACTTTGAAACAACTACAAAGTTAAAGGCAATACCATTAATGTTTTCCAGAAAAAAAATTATTAGGATTTTGTTTCCACCTGTTTGTATTAAGTTTGAAATAACATTACAAATGATGATTGTATTAGGTTTTGTTGAAAATTTGGAAGAGATTTTAACTGAAGATGAAAAAAATTCTAGTAAGGCAAATTTTAAGTTATTTCTTTCCTTAACTAGAGATAAATTTACCCATAAGTAAGAGAGCATTATTTTAGAATAAAAAGTACCAAACAGCATGAACTTATATGTTAAGGACTACATTGTAAAAATCTCCTAAGTTCTGGCTTTCAGGAGTTTTCAAGATAATTTTCCAAAATATAAATCTTTTAATACTAAGGAGCATTTCATTCAAAAGCACAAAAGATAAAACTTTAGTTTCCAACTGAAATATTTTTAAACACCTACTTCCTCCATAATGCAGAATAAACCTTTCCTCCATACATCAGTAGTAAGATTTCTGGCCACTTATTAGCCTTCAGGGCATCATCTGCAACAAGGGCTGTATCAATAAGGAGCAGGTACCTGGGGGCAACTAGCCAAGCCCAATCTCCCCTCCAACCACAATCTCCTTCAGAGGTACAAGAGCCAAAAGGTTCAGAAATGACCTATTCTACTCTACCCTCCACCTCTTAATTTTTTAGGCACATGGCTGTTTCCTTTAAAAAAAAGAAATAATTAAAGTGGGAGAAAAATGAGAGAAGGAAGAAGAAACAAAACAGAGAATAGGAGGCATTAATGATGCCTTCTGGTACCACAGCACGGCTATCACTCATCAGAACTTCCTTCTTACCCTTCTCCCTTTTCCTTCTATTATTCCAATTAAATCTTTTGATCCATCCTATAGTCTCTCTTTTTAAAAATGTTAACTTCTAACCCCAAAGACAGAAATAAGAAATGTTTTATCTGTCACCTTGCTAACAACTGCTGTCTTCACTGCCTTTACTCGCCTGAAGTAGCAGAGTGGTAAAAAGAGGCTTTTGATTTTTATCATTCTACCAAAACTGCTCTCTTGAAAGCTACCAGTGATCTTTTAGTTGTCATATCCAATGGGCTTTTCTCCATCCTCATTCTTCTCCACTTCTCTGCTTTAGTCTTTTGACACTGTGGATCACTCTCTCCTCCTTGATACTTTCTTGCCCCTAGGGTTTGAGACACTACTCTTTCCTGGTTCTCCTACCTATCTGACCACTCCTCTGTCTTCTTTGCTCGATCTTCCTCTAGCTCATTCCCTTTAACCATAGGTGTCCCTCAGGGTTCTGTCCTAGGCCTTCTTCTATTCTCCCTCTATCTGACTTCACTTGGTGATCTCATGAGCTCCCATAGATTTAATTATCAATGCGGATGCTTCTCAAATCTACCTGTTGTGCCCAATCTCTCTGTTAACATCCAATCTCAAATCTCCACCTGCCTTTCAGACATCTTGAGCTGGATATCCAACAGACATCTTAAACTTAATATGTCTAAAATGGAACTCATTATCTTTCCCCCCCCTTCCACTTTCCCTATTACTAGAGAGGGCAAAACTATCCTCCCAGTCTCTCAGGCTCAAACCTAGGAGTCATCCTGGACCCCTCACTATTTCTCACCCCTCCTCCCTCCATACCCAATCTTTTGCCAAAGCCTGTCAATTTCACCTTTGCAACATCTCTTCAATATACCCCCTTTTCTACTCTGACCCCGACATCCTCTTGGTGCAGGCCTTCATCATCTTATGCCTGGACTACTGCAAACCCTAACCCCTACTCAATGAACTCCAGTGGCTTCCTATTGCTTCTAGGATCAAATCCCTTCATAATTTAGCCCCCTCCTACCTTTCCAGTCTTCTTATAACTTACTCCCCAAACCATACTCTTTGATCCAGTGACACTGGCCTCCTGGCTGTTCTATGAACAAGACCCCCCCATCTCTCAGCTCTGGGCATTTTCTCTGGCTGTCCTGCCATGTCTGCAACACTGTCCCTCCTCCATTCTGAGTACTGATCTCCCTGGTTTCCTTGAAGTCCCAACTAAAATCCCATCTTCTACAGGAAGTCTTCCCTAATTCCTCTAAATTCTAGTGCCTTTCTTCTGTTATTTCCTATATATATATACTGCATGTAGCTTGGTTTGTATATATTTATTTGCATGTTGTCTCCCCCATTAGATTTGAAAGCAAGGGACTGTCTTTTGCCTCTTTTTGTATTTCCAGCACTTAGCATAGCACCTAACACACAGTAGGTGCTTAGTAAATGTTCACTGATTGATTGTATGACAAGTTAACAAAGACTAAGGGAAAAATTTTGAGGTTCTTATAAGAAGACTAAAGTGCAAATGTAATTCTCTAGTCAAAACTTGGTAGTCCAGGAGAAAATTCTTGATAGTACATTCCTAAAAAGGTGTCCAAATCAGTTTGGGGTATATGCCAAATGTATGCTCTGAGACAGATTTCTACTTTGTTCTGGGAAGTAACATGACAACAAAGCCTGACCATTTGGCTCCTCAAATGCATTTCCATACCATTTCTCAGTTTTTAGTAAACATCTCAATGCTTTACTTCAAAGCATCAGCTTAGCAAGGGTTATTTCTTGACTCTGCTACCCTCTATTCCAGCTCTTTGGTCTGATTATTCCACAAGTTTGCTGCTATCTGCCCTAAAGATTCAACCACTTGACAACTCTCAGGATAGACTGGACAAAAATAATTTTCACTATTTTTATAATATATATGAGGTTTAGTCAACAGAGAGATAAAAAGTATGCTTACTGATAAAGGTATACAAAAATCTCAAGTCAATTCCAGATCATTGCCACTGGAATCATCTGCCAAAAATCTCATTTTCACATTTGCCAGTATCATCTGCTCCCAGTCTATTCAGACTCTCTTAGCTATCACAGAGGCACACTATACTATGCAGTTTGGATCACAAATCCCTTATGGACTGATGATTTGAAAGAGAGACTCAATGATTAAGCAAGCAAGTTTGCTAGCTTTGATCTTCGATTTTTAAAACTTGAATTCTGGAAAATTTTAAATGTCAGATTAAAACAGATGGATGTTCAGTAGAAAAATCCCAGAAGGGCATGGAAAGGTACTCCGATAAAAAGAGGCAGCCATGGAGCTTCTCAATTATGACAGCACTAATTATACACAACAAGAAAAGAGATTCTAAGCCTGCTCCTTTTAACTGTGAGATATTTGCTTTCTCCAAAATCGAAGTATACACATCTCCCCTCACCTCCACATTTACTCTTCAATCTAATGACCCTAGCCTCCTGGCTGTTCCTCAAACACTCTAGGCTCTGGGCATTTTCACTGGCTGTCCCCCATTGCCTAGAACGCTCTACCCTCTCATCTTTGCCTCCTGACTTCTTTGGCTCCCTTCAAGTCTCAGCTAAAATCCCACTTTCAACAGGAAACCTTTCCCAATCCCCTTTTAAGACTAGTGCCTTCCCACTGCCAATCATTTCCTATTTATCCCGTCTATAGACTGTTTGCGTGTAGTTGTTTGCCAGCTGTCTCTCCCAGTAGATTGTGAGCACCTCTAGACCAAGTACTGTCTTTTTCTTTTCTTTGCATCCCCAACACTTAGTACAATGCCTCGAACATAATAATTGTTTAATTGGTGTTTACTGATTGACTGAAAGCATTAGAATAACGGAGACCCAGTCAAGTAGTTCATCCTCTTTCTAAGCACTTCCAGGAGAGACACCAGATGGTCTAGCCCCCCTTTCCTATATGGATTTGATAGGGGAAAATCATGTTGTTTCTTCTTGCTTTCAACATCAAATGGCATTATAAAGCCAAGGCCCCCATTCTTTTTACTTTCTTCTCCAGCCTCATGTGTTTAAGAAGTCTTAAACCTAGGCATCATCACACCCAATTACTAAACTGCTTACCCTACAGAAGAATTAGGAAATTCAGATCATATTGCAATTATCTGTATCTCTCTGAAAAACCTGCTAGCTTCCAGGAAAAACATCGGCCAACACCATCCTCAGCAAGCATTGGTTCAGGTATCTTATGTTGCCTGGCATACCTGTTGTCTGATCCACAAGAACACGGGAGTTGATGATGCGTCCAAATCGTGAAAACATGTCCTCCACATCTTTCTGTGTCATTGTCCTTGGGAGTCCACTAATATACAAATTGGCATCTTTGATAACTTCTGAGCTTGGCCGAGCATAGGATACCTTTAAAACAAAATTATTCTCTTTTATTATGGCAGATACATCTATAAATCTTTGAATTAATGAATACCTGGTAGTAAATTTTCCAGATTTAAATAAAATTGGCAACCTTACACAAGGTATTTAATTAACAACTGATAAAATCTTCAGGTTTGAAATGATTTGGTTGAGAAATGACCTTGTTAACATCTCCTTAAAAGCACAAAAGTGGGGGGGGCGCGCGCGCAAGCACGCACGGCTAGCTAGGTGGCAGTGGATAGAGCGCTGGCCCTAGAGTCAGGAGGAAGTGAGGCCTCTGACACATAACACTTACTAGCTGTGTGACCCTGGGCAAGTCACTTAACCCCATTGCCCAGCCACCCCCCCCACCAAAAAAAAAAGCACAAAAGCAATAAAGTGAAGTCCTGTCACTAGAATCTCTGACAACACCTCCCAGTCAGATGTGTGCGCATTCTGTCCAGCTTCCTGAAGGCACAGTAAAACACCAGATTTGCTGCTCAATACAGATAGCGTACAGTGTATGTGTAGCTATTTTCTCAGGTAAAACTGTAACCATTTAATATCCCAATCACTTGTGTACAGCACATGCCACCGCATGCTTTTCAAAGGCTGAGGAAGTAACTGACCACAGAACTGGCTCAGAGGCACTGCCCCCCCTCAGAATGAAGGAGCAGAATATCTCTGTCTTGTATTTCTGTGCACTCCATGCTCAGGATGGACCTGGGTTGTGAAGAGAGAGGAGGGCAAGCAATAAGTCCTTAGCAATAAACAATAGAGGCAAAGGGAGTTTGACTTGCCGCAATTAGGGGTATTCTAATCCTCCCCTCTTCACCTTCCTTTTGTCCCCTCTGCCAGCTGCCTAGACTCAAGTCAGGCTGGCCAAACAACGGGGCTGCCCGACTGCTCACACAGCCTGGATAGGATGCGAGACACCCACTGTAACTCTGGGTATCACGGAGGACCATCAGGCCATCTGTCTCGGTTCTATGCCTTCCAGATCCTTTGGCGCCATCAGCTGATTGTACTAATGTGACCTGAGGATGCCTGGGCATTGTTATCTGCCTGGTGCTGTACCCTTAGAACTCTGGGGGCCTTCTACACACCTTACAGCTAAAGTTTCTTTTATATGTTGTCTCCCACAATTAGAGTGTAAGCTTCTTGAGGGGAGAGGTTGTCTTGCTTTTTTTAAAATTTGTATTTCTAACACTTAGTATAGCATTTAACACATAGTAGGCACTTAAAAAATCAATTAATTTCCTTCCTTTTTTCTTTCCTTCCACTAGTCAAAAGTAACTTCTGCTAAGGGTCAAAGAGCCAGTAGCTAACTTTACAGGCAGTTTACATGCACAAATAACTAGGGATTAGGAAATGAGGAGATGGCTGATAAAAGGTGATCTCTTCTTCAACAAATGTCTAAGCTTTGCTACTCCCAGGTACCTTCAAGAAAGTTCTACTATGGAGATACAAAAAGGCCAGGCACTCCTATTATAATGGCATTTATTTATACACATCACTGCTCATATGTGAAAGTTCAAGCAGGGCAACTAAACTTCATCTCAAAAGCATAATTTGGAGCCCTGTGTCCCAAGTACAGTCAATTCTCACTTAATATAAAAAGCACACTGTTCCATAGGCTTCCCCTCCCCTTGTGGGGCTTCGTGTAGTCCCACCCCCTCAACGGCTCTGCGTCAAGGATCTCTAGCATGGGTCTGCACCAGCACTGCTACGCAGCCACCACCACACAACACATACTGCTGCCGGCACCTGCCAAGAGCTGTTGTCTGAGCTGGAGGAGGTAAAGCAAGAATGGTCTATATGTTATATAAACTCATAAGAGACACTGAAGGTGCCCAAATAAAAGACAATCAGCCTACCTTTAAGTATCTCACAACAGGAGATAACCCAAAGAGACAACAGCAATACAAACCACAGAGACAGAGTACAAAGACCTATAAGTTCAAGGAATGGAAATACCAATTTGTACAATTTGTAGTTGGAATTAAAAAACAACTTATCACGAAGTATGAAAATCAATGTTGATGAAGTGTTAAGGCATGACCAAAGATAAAAGATGGAAAGGCTACCAAAAAGAGGAGAGTTTTAAAAGCACATTGTAGTGAAAGTAGCATTAAACCGGGAGTCAAAAGACCTGGGATCTAATCCAGCTCACATCTTCTCCTTCCTGGGCCTCAGTTTTCCCATATGTAACATAAGGAAGTTGGAAGAGAGGATTTCTAAGATAATGCGTTGCTTTGACGTTCCAGTAATAGGATTCTGAGTTACAAAAAAGGTTATGGACTTTGTAGAGGATAGCAAAAGTAAAGGCATAGAGAGGGGAACTAGCAAATTCTGTACAGTGGCCAACAATCAGGGCTGAGGTAGGAATAATGAGAGATGAAGCTAGAAGGTTATGACAGAACTAGTTACAGAATCCTAGAATCTCCGAGCTGAAAAGAGTTCATCTAGTCTAACCTGTACTCTTAACAGGAATCGTACTCAACAAACTGGTCGCTTAGTCTCTATCTGAATAAGCTCTAGCGAGGAGCACATCATTACCCTCAAAAGCAGCCTATGTGATTCTGGGACAGCTCTAATGGCAAGATAATTTTGCTTGGAATGGGAAAGCACTTATTAAGTTCTTAATACATGCCAAACACTATGTTAACCTCCGGAAATACAAACAGAAAAACCACGATAGTTACTACTCACATTCTAATGGGGGACACAACATATAAAGAAGGGTTCTTGTTTATGTTCAATTCCTGGAAGACTGGAAAGGCCAGGTGCTACTCTGGCAGGGACAGTAAAAGGACAGATGGCAAGGCCTAGAGCATTCTGGGGGGTTACTGAAGGGCAGACAGCTGGTGTCCTACCAAGAGGCCAGTGGGTTAGAGTGTTAGAGTGAAGTGGGGCTCTGGGATATCTCCAATGGACATAGGGATCTGGGGCTCAGCAATCAGATGGCAATGGACTTCCTGTGTTCAAGGAAAATGGGGCCAGTGGGGCAATGAAGGTTGGTTGGAGAAGGGAAAAGTCCCTGGCTCCTATCAGGTAATTACTGCTCAGTCTATCTTTCTGCTATCTGTTGGTGGGAAGGGGAAGGAAAGTTCCTACACTTCACTGTGTTGCTGGTGGAGGTAGCTAATTCTGTGTCATCCTCTTTAAGTCAAAACTTAAATGTGATACATAGAAAATACTTAAAAAATGCTTGCTGACTGACTAAATGTTTCTTGATGACTTCCACCTATTGCTCATAGTCCTGGCCCTGGGGGCAATCAGAATTAAGTCTAATCCCTCTTCCATGTAACAGCCCTTGAAATACCTGGACAGTTATCATGTTCTCCTGGGCCTCAAAGCCTTCTATTCTCATGGGAAAACAACTCCCATTCCTTCAACCAATCTTCGTATCGTATAAACCTGAGGGCCTTCACTATCATAATAGCTCTTCACTGAACATTCTTCAGCTTACCAGCAATCTTTCCTAAAATGTAGCTTTTAGTTTCGACAGTATTCCAGATGTGGCCTGACCATACCAGATGTCTTACACCCTTCCAGTCCTGGACACTGTTTCTCTTACTGAAGGGCAAGAGTATAATAGCTTTCTTTGCTTCCAGATGATACTGCTGACACATACTGGGCTTCCAGAGCACTAAAACCTCCAGACCACTTTCAGATAAACTTCTATCTAGCCATGCTTCCTCCATTATGGATTTGTGAAGTTGACTTTTTGAACGCAAGTTCGAATTACATACTAAATTTCATTTCACTAGATTCAGCCCAGTAGCCTGTAGAGATCTGTTTAAAATCTGTCATCCCATGTGTCAGTGTTTTCTCTTAGTTTTGTGAAATAAGAAAATTGGATAAGCATGCCAACCATGATTTTGAGCAAATCACTGAAAATAATGTTAAGTGGCACAGTTTTTTGACATACTCTATTAAAGACTTCCTTCTAAACATTTAAGGTGATGCCCTCTTGGGTCCAGTCATTCTACCTGGTACATATCTACCTAAATGTACAATGGTCTATCTTTTCCACAAGAATAGCATGAGACAATTTATCAAATACTTTGCTAAAATGTAAGTAAGCTATATTTATAACATTCCCCTAATCTATCCATCTAATAATTCAGTCAAAAAAGGAAATGAGATTAATCTAGGATAATCTGTTCTTGATAGAGCTGTGCTGCCTCTATGTGATCACCACTTCCTTTTCTATATATTCACTAAGCATAGGGATAAGAACTAGACTTCTGATTTCATTAGTATAGGGAATTCCCAGGTAAGAAAACTCCCACTATCAAAGCAAGATCAATACCACTTTCTAAGCAAATTACAGTCTTAGAGAATTGCCTTGGGCACAGAAAAGTTAAATGATCTTCCTTTGGTCAAACATCTAGTATGTGTCAAACGCTGAACCTGAACCCAGGTTGTCTTTGCTTGAAGGCTAGCTCTCTACCTACAACACACTAACCATCCTTTCAACAATACTTTCTAGAATTCTGCCATGAATTGTAATGTGCAGATTCTATTATCTTCCCTTTTTTTGAAAACAAAGATATTTGCTCTTCTCCTATCCTCCAGTGCCTTCTCAATCCTACCCAGGCTTTCAAAAATCACTGACTGACTCACTAATCACATCTGCCAATTCCTTCAAACCCAAAGATACAGTTCATCTGGCCTGATGACCTGAACTCATCAAGGACTGTTGCTGCCCTCTTATCCTCTCCTTACTTATCCTGGATATCAATTCAATAGTGACCATCTTTATTCTACCCTTTCTAGTCCAAAGATTCTAGGAAGAGAAAACAGTTGAACAGCATTGCCTTCTCTCCATAAGTTACTGTTGTCTCATCTATCACAAGCATTAATCTTATCCATTATTTGATCATCCCTGTTCCTTAGTTTTCTTGACTAGATTCAACTCGATATGAGCTTTCCAACTCTTAACATTGTTGTTACAGGATGATGCCAAGGATTTGTACTCATCCTCTATTAACTGTCCT